CTACTTGTGATCTCTCTCTCTCTCTGTCAAATAAATAAATAAATAAAATCTTTAAAAAAAAAACACAAAAAAACAAAACTAGCAATTTACATTAAACGCATAGTTCTTCACTTACAGAAAATGAATAGAAAATGAAGAAGCAGGGATGATTTCTAAAAACCAAGGGCATAATGGTAAGAGCTAAGATAATCAAAACAAGTGAACGTGGCTAAAATAAAATCACAGCAAGAAATGAAAGAAAATCTGCTTTGAGTTCCCCATGGTGCTTTTACAGATTAGAGTAGAAAACTGCTTAAGGACTGATTTTTAATAATAAGGAACCATCAGAGATCAAGAAATAATTCTCAAAAATTGAAAAACTTGATTATTAAATTGTGAAGAACAAACTCAAAACTCTTTAGAGAAGGCCTGAAATAGAATGGATGGACATAAATGACCAATTCTGCAAATTTCCTAGAATGTAGACTGGAAGACAGACTGCCAAATGCACACGGGAGGTAGAGCCTACTCTCCTGATAATATAGAAAAGTAACAGTTTTCCAGCTTATCAGCCATCACAAAAGTAGAAACTCACTTGCCCTCTCTTATCTGCTGGGCAACATCTGCTCAAGAGATCCTAACAACCTGTCTATCAAATTACTCAGGAGGGGTGCCTGGGTGGCTCAGTTGTTGGGCATCTGCCTTTGGCTTGGGTCATGATCCCGGGGTCCTGGGATCGAGCCCCGCATTGGGCTCTCTGCTCGGCGGGGAGCCTGCTTCCTCCTCTCTCTCTCTGCCTGCCTCTCTGCCTGCTTGTGATCTCTGTCTGTCAAATAAATAAATAAAATCTTTAAAAAAAAAATTACTCAGGGGGGCACCTGGGTGGCTCAGTGGGTTAAGCCGCTGCCTTCGGCTCAGGTCATGATCTCAGGGTCCTGGGATCAAGCTCTGCATCGGGCTCTCTGCTCAGCAGGAAGCCTGCTTCCCTTCCTCTCTCTCTGCCTGCCTCTCTGCCTACTTGTGATCTCTCTCTGTCAAATAAGTAAATAAAATCTTTAAAAAAAAATAATAATTACTCAGGAAATACACAACCTAGATCGAGTAAAGGGCAATAACTACCCGATATAAGAGGAACCAGAATCCTTAGAAAACAAGTCCAAGCAACATAATTAGTATACAAAGACAATGGTATTGGCTCACATACCCAGAAGAGCTAACATGTAAATAACAAGGACTCCAGTAAATTAAAGGAACAGACGGAAGAGAACTAATCATGATGTAAATAAGATACTTTCAGAGTTGAAAGCCTTTGAGTTTTCACATTGAAAGAGACATGCTAAAAAGATTCAGCATCAAAACAAAACAAAACTTTGGTTTAAGCTCTGACATTTAAAGAGCTTGGGAGTCACCACTAAATTTAAATTTAAATAAAATTTAAAATTTTATTAATAAAGTTATTAAATTTTATTATTAAATATTTCTTTCAAAGAAAGAAAGAAGTGAGAAAAAGTATTGGTAAGTAATAAATAAGAGAAAAAGGATTACTGTCCAAATTACATAAAGGATTTTTATAAGGTCATAAAAAATAGAGGAAAGTGAGCAAATATATAAACAAGGCACTCCACAGAAGAAACATATCACTGTTACTCAATAATTCACTAGTAAATAGTAAACCAACCATGGTAGGTATTCAGTGATGGGAAATAGGAAGTCTTGGTATCTGCAGAAGCCTCCTGTGTCACAGGATCTTTGAACTCTACCCCGTGAATGGCCGGCAGTCCAGAAAGTGGAAGAAACTCTAACTGATGAACATTTTAGACAAGTTACTGAAAACAAGCTGGAGATGTAGAAGAGAAGCATAAAGTCTGGAACAAAGAGAAAATGAAGCTATGGTAGGCTAAAAGGATAAGAGAGAAAAAACAAATTTAAGAAATATTAACAATTTAAACGAAACAAGAATGGGATGACTAACAAGATGGATAGGAGAACTGAGATACAGAGTGGTTTAGGACCTGCTTCTTATCACTTGGATGACTGGCTAAGCAGTGTTAACATCTGACAGAGATTAATGAAATACGAATACTTCCTAATTATGGATGTTGCTTCTGAACAAGTTACACACAGGGGACTAGCAGCTAGGTACACTGGAAAGACAAACTCTGGAGTCCCACAGGTGCTCCTCAGCTATAAGCACAGAGAGGATGGAACCCATGAGGGAAAATGAGAATAACAAGAAGCAGAAAGACTGGGGACAGGCTCCTGAGAGGAGGATAATGTTTAAGGGCAAAAGGATAAAAGAAAGCACGACGAAAGAGAAAATCTAGACAAAGGTACAAGCCATTTGGGGTGATGTCAGAGAAACCAACAAGAGACACTCAGGAGAGAACAGTCAACAGTGTCCATTAGGTAGCATGCACTGGTAAGAGCCATCATTTTATATTTAATTTTATAATTACATCATTGTGACCTTTACCAAAGGAGATTAAGAAAACTGGAAAGGAAGAAGCAAGAATGGTCTTACATGTGAAACAGAATTATGGACATAAAAGCCAAAGAGTAGGGGTCTCTGGGTGGCATTGGACATCTAGATGTCTTTGGACATCTGCCTTCAGCTCAGGTCATGGTCCCAGGGTCCTGGGATGGAGCCCTGCATCGGGCTCCCTGCTTGGTGGGAGGCCTGCTTCTCCCTTTCCCACTCCCCCTGCTTGTGTTCCCTCTTCCTTGTGTCTCTGTCAAATGGATGGATAAAATCTTTAAAAAAAAAAAAAAAAGGAAAGAAAGAAAGAGAAGAAGACGAAGAAGAAGAAGGAGGAGGAGGAGGAAGAAGAAAGAAGAAAGAAGAAGGAAGAAGGAGAAGAAGAGCATGTGACTCTTGATCCTGAGGTTCTGTGATCTAGCCATACATCGAGCTCTATGCTCTGTAGGGAGTCTGTTTCTCCCTCTCCCTTTCCCCCGCCTGCTGCTCCCCGTTTGTGCACGCTCTCTTTCTCTTCTTTGTCAAATAAATTTAAAAAATAAATCTTAAAAAAAAAAAAAAAAGCCAAAGTGTAGAACACTGAACTATCTGTGACACCAATAAATATAGCCTATTTGGGGGGGAAATCATTTACTTAAATATCATTAAAGGAGATACACTTGATTGCTTCCTCCAGATACTCTACATTTTATCCCTGGATCATAAAGGAACATCAGAAAATGGTCTAGAGCACTGCTGCCAATTTGGTAGGCACTAGTCACATGTGGCAACTAAGCACTTAAAATGTTGAAATGTGACTTAAGAACTAAATTTTAATTGTTCTAAATGAAATATCTACATGTGGCTAGTGGTTACTATACTGGACAGCATACAGTACCAGACATAATATTTTGATTCTCTGAAAATCTATATATTCACTGAGTTCTCCCTTAGCTCTAGAGACTTCTGTTCCCATTGAATAACTGCTCAATGAAAGAGGCTACATTTCTTTTAGGGAAGTTGTTGAAAGGCCGCACACTTCATCATCCATATAGAGTGCAAGAAAGGAACTTTTTTTTTAGACTTAAATGCTAGGAAGTCTTCATGCCCCATTAACAATCAGTGTGGTTTCTCTTTATGGAAAATGTGAATCATGTAACATGTATGTATTTTTCCATGACTATCAGAAAGATCAGAAATAAATCTGCAGCTCATCTTTGATAACTCTGTAAGATCACAAAACCTGTCCATACCTATATATTACTTCATCTTGTTCTTGATCTGCTACTGTATATTTTCCCTGTTGTTGATTTGTAATTTCTACATTTCCATTCTAATCTAACTCTTCAAAGACTTATACAAGGCCTTATAAATAAACTGGGAATAAGAAATAAACAATTCACCTGGGATCTGTTCATTTTCTGCTGGTTTTGGAAAAGTATGGAGAAGTATAAAGGTAGAGCTGGGAAGAAGGAAGTAAGAATGAAGTAAAGAAAAATATGGCCTGCCTTGCGGCTCCTGGATTCGCCTTTCAAAAATGCTCCACAGAAGCAGCAGTTTAAACAACATGAGACATATGAATGACTAGATCATATTGAGCTTAGACATGTAATCTTTGAGTAGGAGAAAGTAAACATACACATCCCATTGATTATATTAATATTTTGCCTATGACTTAAGCACACACACAAAAAAAACCTTAAAATAGAACCAATATATCTGAATTTATTCAGGATAATATATGCATTCAGGATACTAATATAAAAAGTGTTTTCTTTAAACTGATGTGGTTAGAAATACCAAGATTGCACTGTTTTCCCATAATACCGAGATTGCACTATCTGTTTTCCTACGAATGTGATACTGGAAACATTGCTGAACAATTCACAGAGGGGCACCTGGTTGGCTCAGTGGGTTAAGCCTCTGCCTTTGGCTCAGGTCATGGTCTCAGGGTCCTGGGATTGAGCCCCGCATCGGGCTCTCTGCTAGGCAGAGAGCCTGCTTCCCCCCTCTCTCTCTGCCTGCCTCTCTGCCTACTTGTGATCTCTCTCTCTGTCAAATAAATAAATAAAATCTTTAAAAAAAAAAAAAAAGAACAAGTCACAGAAACTCTGAAAAAGAGAATCAGCGCTTTTTTAATCTGTCCAAATTAGTTGCAATTTCATAACCTTTTTGATAAGAAACTTGTTTTTGCTGTGCAAAGGAGACAGCTTGGGAATCAAGAAGCCAAGAAACCCTTCTGTCTTGATCAGTAAGAAAGGAGTGATCTGTAACATTCGTTTATCTTCTGAGGCTCCACATGTTTTCTTTCAAATGAGGCAGAAATAGATACTCTCGAAAACCCTGTGCTACGACGATGTGATTCTAAGTTCAGAATAAAGAATAAAAAATATCTAGATACTAAATACATAGATATACACCATGTACAAGTTCAGGATTTGGAAAAAAGAGAACAAAAGAAACACAGGCTGTGTAGAGAGTTGAATTAAACTTCCTCCTTGATGATCCTTTCCTCAAGCCAACCACCCAGAGAGCCTGACATTTCTGCGCATCTTGCCCCACTCACCACTTACGGCAGCACGCGCCTCTTGCTGAAACCTGGTCTTGATCTTCCACTGTCACAGAGATGTCGAAGTTTCAGATGTGACATCTGAAAGCATGCTCATTTAGGGCGGGGAGATCAAAAATTGCTTCTGGCCTTGGAAATCTGGAGTCTGTTTCTTTGGGGGATTACTTCCACTTCTGTTCAAAACTCTGGTGAAAGGTCTGAAGAAGGTCACAGGGATGTTTTCTTCCAGGTGGGTTTCTGATTTGTGCCGTTCCTTCCCTTTTATCTTTCTAGAATTGCTTTGTTCCTAAAGAAATGGCACTGGGGCCTATGGAACAAAATCATTTAACTGGAGTCTTCACACAAGACCCCCAATCTGACTCTCCCGAAGGCTGCTCCAAGGACTAGACCTTCTATAGGCTCAAATCAGAATGTATGCGGGACATACAAGCTGGGAGAGCTCGGAGGGGCCCACAGTCTCGATTATGGACTCTGACCCCAGGGCTCCTGAGAGCCAGGAAGGCATCTTGCCACTTGGTGGTTGTGAAGGAACCCAAGGTACTTTCCAGGTAGAGTGGCCTTTTAGCATCAACAAGAGATTTGGAAAACACATCTGGCCTTTAACCCAACCCCCTCATCTGTGGGCTATGTGAACTCGGGTGAATTATCATCTCTCCAAAACTAGTTCTTATCTGCTACAACAAATGGTTGTGAAAATTCAACGAAATGCCACGGCTTTATCATTAACCACCACGCACTACTGGGCTCAAACATGCCTTGGTTCTCAGCGCAGAGAAGCGAGCTGAACAGCCGGGCCTCATCCAGGGGGCGCTGCTGGGAGCGAACCAGAGCCGCCATGATAGGCCGGGCGTACCGGCCCAGTGCTGCAACCCTCCCACGCAGCCGGAGCCAGGCCCCGCTTTTCCTGCGGGAGGCCCGCCTTTCCCACCCCAAGGTAGGGAGGCACCCCCTACAGAGTCCTCACAGCCGCGTTACGCAGACGGACACCGGCCATCCACCCAACGCAGCAGAGCTATAGGACCCGCCGCCGAGCGTACGTGCGTAGCGGGGCCCCGCGGGCAACTTCCCAGCAGCCCCGGCGGAGAGCGTGTACCGCGAAGGCTCTGGGAGACGCGGGGCCCCAACAACACCGGAAGCGGAGACCCGAGACCCGCCAGCCTAGGAGGGACCTGCATCCGAACAGCAGGGCTTCTTCCAGGGTAGGACAATAGTGAGGATGTTTCATCATCATTCTTCTGACGATGCTAGCCTGCAAAGATTACACAGTGAAACACGAAAATTTTAGGAAAATCAGAAAATACAACAAAAACAATGGACACAGCTTCACCTCCCGCTCCCTGAGATTTATGTGCTTAACCGTTAGATACACAACCTTCTTGCAGTCTGCAGGAATGAGATTATATGCATGATTTTCATCACTATCCTTGCAGAAAACAATATTTTGTAAAATAGGAAACTTTTTTTTCCTATGATAACAGAAATAATCCATTCACAATAACACCAAAAGTGGTACAAAATAGGGACACCTGGGTGGTTCAGTCAGTTAAGCATCAGCCTTCAGTTCAGGTCTTGATCTGGGGTCCTGGGATGTGGCAGCACAAAGGGCTTCCTGCTCAGTAGGGAGTCAGTTTCTCCCTCTGCCCTAACCCCCCTCCTGTTTTGTCTTTCTCTCTCAAATAAATAGTCGTGTTTTTTTTTTTTTTCAAATAACGTTTTTTTAAAAATTATGCCAAATAATTATTCGAGTTAATAAAATAAGTAAATTTGTGAAAAAGACATTTTTTGGTGTATAACAAAAGACTTGAAAAGGTAGCTAGCCATATGATTTTCACAAAAAGAAGACTCCGTCTTCAACAATATTCCAGGGGCGCCTGGATGGCTCAGTCGGTTAAGCGTCTGCTTTCCGCTCAGGTCATGATCCCAAGGTTCTGGGATTCAGCCTTGCATGGGACTCCTTGCTCAGCAGGGAGCCTGCTTCTCCCTCTGCCTGCCACTCCCCTTGCTTGTACTCTCTCTCTCTGACAAATAAATAAATAAAAACATTATAAGCAGTAGAGGGAAAAAGGATGTAAAGGGAAGATTTCTTTTCTCCACTCAAATAAAATGAACAGTTAGTAAGTTACATATATATATATATATACGTATATATATATACATATATATATATAAAAAATATACAGAGCAACCACTAAAATAGCTCTACAAATAGACTCAAAACCATATATATACATCAAAATGGAATTCTAAAAAATGTTCAGGTAATCCACAAAAAGGGAGGCAATATGAAGAAACAAGAAACAAAATGAACAAATATAAAACGCAAACCAAAATGGCAGATGTAAATTCTAACATATCAATAATTACATTAAATCTAAGTGGTCTAAAATGCCAATTATTAGATAATGCCAGAGGTTGCCAAAGTGGATTTTTATTTTTTTATTTTTTTTATTAAAGATTTTTTTTTTTTAAGATTTTTATTTATTTGACAGAGCACAAGCAGGCAGAGAGGCAGGCAGAGAGAGAGAGGAGGAAGAGGCAGGCTCCCTGCCGAGCAGAGAGCCCGATGTGAGGCTCGATCCCAGGACCCTGGGATCATGACCCGAGCCGAAGGCAGAGGCTTTAACCACTGAGCCACCTAGGCGCCCCCTTTATTAAAGATTTTTATTTATTTATTTGGTAGACAGAGGTCACAAGTAGGCAGAGAGGCAGGCAGAGAGAGAGAGAGGAGGAAGCAGGCTCCCCGCTGAGCAGAGAGCCCGATGGGGGCTCAATCCCAGGACCCCGGGATCATGACCTGAGTCGAAGGCAGAGGCCTTAACCCACTGAGCCACCCAGGTGCCCCGCCAAAGTGGATTTTTAAAAGATAACCCAGGGGCACCTGGGTGGCTCAGTGGGTTAAAGCCTCTGCCTTTGACTCAGGTCATGATCCCGGGGTCCTGGGATTGAGCCCCCATCGGGCTCTCTGCTCAGCGGGGAGCCTGCTTCCTCCTCTCTCTCTTTCTGCCTGCCTCTCTGCCTACTTGTGACCTCTGTCTACCAAATAAATAAACAAAATCTTAAAAAAAAAAAAAAAGACAACCCAATGATGCTGTCTAGAAGAAACTAAATTCAAATACAATCCTATAGGCAGGATAAAAATAATGAATAGAAAAAAATATATCGTGCCAACATTAATTTTTAAATTTTAATATAAAAAAGCAGGGGTGGATATATAAATATCAAATAAGGTAAACTTCAGAACGCAGAAAAATACCAATAAAGAGAAGAACATTATATAATAGGGGTTACTCCAAGAAGGCATAGCAGTCCTAAATGCATATATACCAGATAACAGAGCACATAGTATGTGAAGTAAAAATTGACAGAACTGAAGGATAGAAAAATCCATCATTATAGCTAGTGACATCAACATACTCTTAATAACTGAAACGATTACTACAGAAAATCACCAAGAATATAAAAGAACTCAGTAGCACATCAACGAACAAGATCTAATTGATATTTATAGAATACTTCACTCAACAATAGCAAATACACACTCTTTTCAAGTACCCATGGAACATGTACTATAAAACAAACTTCAGCCTATTTAAAAGAACTGAAATCACACATAGTACATTCTCTAGCCTCAATGTAACCAAACTAGAAATCAATAAAAGAAAGAGAACAAGAAAATTTCCTAACCCTTGTAAACTCAACAATACATTTGTAAGAAAATCCATGGGTCAAGGGGACTCTCAGATGAAATTTTTAAAAATACATTAAACTGAAGGAAAGTGAAAAAAATATCAAAAATTGTGACACAATAACTGAAGTAGTGCTAAGAAGGAAATACACAACACTGAGTGCCCGACACAGGGTTGCCACGAATGAGGTCTAGACAGGCATTTATTGCTTAATTGTGATACTTGCTTTATTTTGGTAGTCTGGAACTGAACCTACAGGATACCTGAGGTAGCTTGTCATGGTAATGATTGTGTAACTCTGTGAATATACCCAAAATCCCTAATTTGCACACTTGTATTTTGTGTTATATTAATTATATCTCAATAAATTTGTTATAAAAAATGAGGAAATAAAGTTTCTAGGGAAATGGAGTATAACCAGTAAGTTAAAAAATAATTAAACCAGAGGCACCTAGCTGGCTCAGTCCATGGAGCATGTGACCATCTCAGGATTATAAGTTTGAGCCCCATATTGAAGGCAGAGCTTACTTAAAAAAAAAAAAAAAGAAGAAAAGAAAATTAAACCAGGAAAAAAAGATAATAATAATACCAAATGTGGATATGAAGGGAAATAGGGAGTAATACTACCATAAACACAGCTCCTAATTCACTGGACACAGAAGTTTTTGAACATTCACAATTCCTGACAACTTTGAAAATTTGAGAAGGAACTGCATTGTTTGTAATTTTATGCATAATGTTAAAATTTTTAGTATTATACAGTACTACTTATAATATAGAAAAGTATTTTTTCTTGTTTGCACAATTGAAATTTTCCCCAAAATGCTATAGTACTTTCTTATGCAAGACATAAACACACACACACACAGAAAGACACACAGACTTGAATAGTAAAAGTGTCTTTTTTCTTTTTTTCCTTTAAAGTAGGCGCTGCACCGAGCATAGAGCCCAATGTGGGGCTTGAACTCATGACACTCTGATCAAGACCCTCAGTTTTGGGCGTGCCTGGCAGGGAGCTTGCTTCCCCCTCTCTCTCTGCCTGCCTCTCTGCCTACTTGTGATCTCCCTCTCTGTCAAATAAATAAATAGAATATAAAAAAGAAAAAGAAAGAAAGAAAGAAAGAAAGAAAGAAAGAAAGAAAGAAAAGAAAGAAAAGAAATCAACAGTTTTAGGGCACCTGGGTGGCTCAGTTGGTTAAAGCTTCTGCCTTTGGCTTGGGTCATGATCCTGGGGTCCTGGGATCAAGCCCCACATCGGGTTCTCTGCTCTGCAGGGAGCCTGCTTCCCTCTCTTTCTGCCTGTCTCTCTGCCTACTTGTCATCTCTGTCTGTCAAATAAATAAATAAAATCTTTAAAAAAAGAGAGAGAGAAATCAACACTTTTGGACGCTCAACTAACTGAGCCCCCAGGTACTCCAATAAATAAAATATTTTTTTAAAAAATGGAGAATCGCTCAAATCCCATGGATGCAAAAGGATGTCTCCTGTGAATTATCTGTCAACTGGGTTACCCATTCACTTTCACCAGAAAAGGAGTATCATCTGGGAAAGTCATCTTTTCAACAAGAAAAAGGCTGCCTGCATCTTGGAGCTGGGTCAGCCAGACAACTCTGCAACCAGGAGGGAATCTGCATTAACCTGGATTCCAAGCCAGCCTTTTCTGGGGAAGCTCAAAAATAAAACACATGACGCCCGAGACTTCACAGTGAAAACACCAACCCATGCAACTGAGAAGTAGAGACCTGCTTTAAGTTCAGCACTCCCTATATGCCTGACCAGCTATATATTTCTTTTAAAAATAAACACATACACGCACACACACCTCCTTCATGGTAGGATGTATTACATTGCTTTAGGCCAATATTCCTTCTAAAAACATCTAGTACAACCCATATAAACATCAAAAATATACTTAAAGGCATCCAACTGTTGTGGGAGCAACAAGGATAAGGGAGACCAAAACTTGAGAACAGAAAGAATCGCAAGGAGGTGAACTCCCAAATTCCTGCTGTTTGTTTGTATGTGTGTGTGCTTCTCCTGATAGCATTTTCCAATTTTGGATGCAACCAGAGCCTCTGGGCTTGTCTTGCCCCAGGTACTATGTCTCTGCTGAGGAAAAAACAAAGCAAGCACACTTTGAGCAGTGGTATGCTATGACAGGAATGACAAATTCAAGAGTCTCTACTAAGAGACTAATGAGATGAGACCAAAAAGGCAGAATGAAGTCTATCTCAGTCTTGTAGCACTTAGAATATAAAGACTTTCTGAAAACAAAACAGGCAAGATATGAAAACACTAGAAATTGTAGTGAATTGCTCTTCAGTATCTAAACCCACTTCTAACCCAGGACCACAATTCTGGCACAAACAAGGGCTGAAAATAAGGCTTGAGCCCCTGCAGAGAGCAGGTATGGAGGACAGAGTCTAGTATTCAAGAAGGCTGGAAGGACTCCTGGGTGGCTCACTCAGTTAAGCATCTACCTACAGCTCCTGTCATGATCCTGGGGCCTGGGATCAGTCCCACATCAGGCTCCTCGCTCAGGAGGGAGCATGCTGCTCTCTCT